TGTGACCGAGGGCTTGAGTTTCTCTCTCTAGAATTTTTGGCAGAGCTTCGTTAAGGATTTTTGGGCGCGTAAGGAAGAAATGGCTCTGGCTCCGGGGTATTTATAGACCCCAGAGTCCGGGCTTGGGCCCGAAAACTGGGCCTCCGGATGGACGCCATCATTACACACCGCGTCTTCGCCCAACCGGTGACGCCGCCCACGGACTGCCAGCCATCACACGCCACGTGTACCCCCCCCAACGGCTATGAACCTGACGTTACATATTCCAACGGCTATAAATCTGACGCTGCATGTTCCAACGGCTATATTCCCAATGGCTATATTCTGGAAGCCCCCGGGTTTTTTTACTTCACTCCACTTCATCAAGGATAGCCTCCGGGTACACTTACCCAGAAGCGCCCCCGGGTTGTGCCCCACACAGCACATAACAGACGCCTTCGGGATCACTCCCTCAGAAACCCAGGGCTTCATATCAGGGCACCCCTCGGGGATTCCCCCTCAGCGCTGCAAAACCGGGTAGCCCCCGGGGAGTTACCTCATTGAAGGATAACCCGTGGCACACAGGTAATGGGAGCCCTCGGGTATCTTCATCACCAACTAATCAACAAACAGTGGACCCCCCGGCGACAGTTAAATTACTGCCCTCATCCAGCAGGCCCTCGATCCCCGGATTGAGGGGCTCCCCTTCGGCACCCCCACGATATCAACAGCAAGCCTTCGGCTGATCAATACATGAGCCCTCAGGAAAAGAAGAGCCTTCGGCATTACCGTATTCTCCATTTTTGACCAAGGTTTGACATTTTCGATTCATCATTGGGGGAATTCGGTGCACTCTTTTTCCCTCATTAGGATTTTTTCCCCCAGGGTTTTTCCTAATGAGGTTTTTAACGAGGCATCCCCCCAAAATGAAACGAAAAGCGTCAGCCTTTGGCCCACAACAGCAACGCAACTACTCTACTCCTTTTCACCACTTTACAAGTGCCTCAAGGAGTGGGGGACTGGAGGACCCCCTCGGGAAAATCATTAAATTACGAAAGATGTAGAAATTCCAACAAACAACAGAGCAAGCCCTCAAGTCCCGACATGTGGGTAACTGAGGGACTGCCTTCGGCAGGGACATAAAAGCAACAACTCCTCACCAACTTCAGAGATCACGACGGGACAACATCAAGGGGCAAGCACAAATTACTCCTTTTCCCTCAAGTACCTTTCGGCAAAAGGAGTGAGGGACTCCTGATGGAGTATATGGCCCGGGAACCCCCGGCCCACAGACTCCTACTACTCCAGCGAAGGCCCAAAAGGCCCAAAAGGCCCAACAGGCCCAAATCACAGCGCCCAGAGTACCAAGCAGTCCGCACTACGCGCCAGGGGTGCCTTCGGCCCCCTGGCCGAAGGCTCCAAATTCTCACAGAACGGGTTTCTCAAGCAAATTAAGAAACTGGGAGAAAACGGCAAAAACAGTAGCCCTCGGCATTGTGAGCCCTCGGCACCAGGGTGCCATCGGGTGGAAGAGCCCTCGGCTACTGCTCTATAGCCGAAGGCATCTCACTCGACAAGATATCCGCCTCACATGCGTACAGATCACCGTACCCCGCATAGACGTCCCATCCAACAACCGCATTAAATGCGGCCACATGCGGCTGCCAGCGCCAACCAGTTGAGGTGACCCCTCGGCCAATGAGCGCTTGACACGTGTCCCTGCCCGGCATTTATTGCTACTATAAATAGCACCCCATTTCCTCATTTGTAACCACGCTGAAAACGGCATTCATACTGAATACACTCTCTCTCTACTTTTACTTGCTCTGACTTCTCTCTAAGTTATTCCCCGTAATAACCCTTCGGATATATACCCCCGGGTAGACTATCCATCACTTTCATTCCTTATTAGTAAACAAATTAAAAAATTCAGATTTTGAAAATTTAAAGTGAGAAGAATTTAACAATATTTTTTAAAAATTTAATTTATAATACATTAATAAATAAAATATAATCAAAGTAGAATGTTTGTGAATAGTGCAAAAAGTCCAATGTTGCTATTAAAAGAGAACGCAAATAGTATGATATAATTTGATATATTTATTTCTTTAGTTATTTAAAAGAAGGAAAAAACAGTCTTGTTGAGTTACATATTTAATATAAGAGTAAATTCTCTAAATAGGAGTAAAAAAGTTTTTTAATTCCAAAATAGGACTATCATGATTTTTATTTCTAAATAGGAGTAAATTTCTACCAAGTTTGGCATTACTGGACTTTTAAACATGACATTTTTTTTCAAACTTGACAGATTACTCATATTCAAGGAATAAAAAATATGATACTTCTATTTTGAAATCTAAAAGCGTTTTTACTCCTATTTAGGGCAATTTCTATTAATATAATTACTCCATATTCATACAGTAAATAAAAGTAATTAAGTAAATAAATAAAAGACAAGAAAAAAAGTCAGAGCTACTACTACAGTTGAATTAGATTAGATGGAGTGGAGCGAGTGAGCAAACTCCTTTGATCGCTTTCAACATTTCCGGCTTTTTCCTTAAAATGAGGAGGAATGTTTTTATCTTTACATGTTTTTCTTGTTGCGTGTTTTGGGTCAATTCTGTACCCGGATCGAGTCGATTGACCCATCAGAATTTACAAAGTGAAAACTGTGGTTAGGGAAAACCTTAAACATTTTCCCTTCAATGTAGTATTTGATTAATGGAGAAATGTTTTTTATTATTGCAAAATTCTTTTCAGGCTGAATAAACAGAATAAAATGTCTCTGCTACAGTTCTATTTTCATTTCATAAACAGAGAGTATTTTCATAATAGGGATGCACTAAACCAATGAACTGGATGGTTTTCATACAAGGTGGAGAGAGGGAGGGGCTGGAGGGGGCCTTGGCCCCTGCAAGAAAAAAAATTATTAAGTATATATGATGTATAAATACTTTGAATCTAGAAAAAATATGTTGATATTTTAAACTTTGGGCCTCGACAATGTAAAATTCTCAAAACTCGGCTCCCTTAATCATATATTTCTGGCTCCGCCACTGTGTTCAAAAGATCCAAAATGGTATCAATATATCTAATTGAGGAGTTTAAAGCCATTTCCTGAAATGAGAAACTAGCTATGCCGTAAAAGTCGGACCGGAGAGTCACCCAGGAAAATGACCGGGTGTCACAGGTCAACCCGGACCCGCTGGATCAACCCGGTCAACGCAAAAAAAAACACAACTAACTGTTTAGACGCCTATGTGAATTAATTGGTTACCTAGATCGCCTAGTTGCCCATTGAGAGCGCTTACTAGACCGCTTAGGGTGTCTACGTATGCAAAACATTTTTTTACTACATATTTGTTTCTAGCTAAGAGATATATATACCTATAACTTTAATAAAGCATATTAAGAAAGCTACTAGTTGTGAATTAAAATAAAAAATACACATGTTTGTATATAATCTTAAATGTTACTTTATTACGTAGTACTATTTAATAATATTTATTACATAATGAAGTTAAATGAGTAGATATAATATACGAAGTATTATTAAATGTGACAATTATATCATTCGTGCATGTTAATGTGTATCTGTGTGCATCTATTTTTTATATACACACAAACACAACATTACTAAACATATTTATGAAAACACTTTGATAAAATTATAATTTTTATGTCTCCGACTAGTCCCCGTTAGGGATGGATTCGGTTCGGGCCACCCGGCCCGTGACCCGGCCCGGCCCGGTACTGTGCGGGCCTGGGACCGGCCCGGTCGGGCGGTCCGGGACCGGGTATGGACCCGAACCGATTGGAAGGGGCGGGGGCGGGCTCGGTTCTGGATTTTTGTGACCCGGCCCCGGGTCCGGGTCTATTTTTTAAAAAAAAAAAACTTTTTTTTGTTTGGTTTGGCTACTAGCCGTTGGGGCCTTGGGGGTGGGGCTGGGGACAACCCAAACGGCTCTATAGCCGTTGGGTGGGGTAAAGGGGGGGTCCGGGGGGGTTGGCTGGTGGGGGTGGGGGGGTGGGGGGGTGGAGGGTAAAAAACCCTATAAATACTCCTAATCTTAAACATTTTTTCATATCTCTTCTCCAATTCTTCCTAAATCCTAAATCCTATTCTTAACTCTCTACTCTCTAATTCTCTTATTCTCCAATATATTATATTTATTATTTATATATCTACTTTATAGTTTATACTTAAGAAGTTAAGATGGAAAATCAAGATGACATTATACGGTATAATTTTGATAAGCAGAAGGACCCGAAGACCGGGATGTGGTACACAATTTGCAAATGGTGCGAGAAAAAATGTAACATGGGGGCTTCAGGCGGATTCGGGATGGCAATCAAGCATATGAAGTCATGTGACAAAGCCAAAGGATCGGGAGGTGCGGGAAGTTCCGATTGATTACAATTTTCAAAATGTTTATCTCTTAAAGTTTGTTTTAATTTTCAAATGTAGTTCCTATTTCATTTCAAATAAATGCAATTGAAGTTTGTTTTTAATACTCGTATAAAACTATAAACTATAAAATATAAATTATATAAAAAAAAATTAACCGGCCCGAACCGGACCCGACCCGTGACCCGGGCGGGTGGCCCGGCCCGAACCGGACCCGTCCAACCCTCGGGCCGGTCCCGGGCCCACTATTCTTGAACCGGCGGCCCGACCGGGCCTAGGCCCGGCCCGGGCCTGACCCGGCCCGAATCCATCCCTAGTCCCCGTCTAGGAGCTTGCCTAGCCGCCCAGGCGCTGGGCCGGGCGCTTTTTAGACTTTATTATGGTCGTATCGAGTAGTATGAGATGGAGGGTTGAATAGTGACTCGATTACATTGGAAAGTAGATGTGTTTTTCTAATTTGAGTGACTTCTGTAATATGTTTGTATTCAGCGGTATAAGGTTTGTTGGATAGTCACTGAATTTTTACTTGAACGGAGACGAATGCAAAATGTCAAGACAAATGGGTAGTAATATGTCAAAACATGGTCGTAATAACCATTGTTAGTACTACAAAACCCCTAAAACAACTCAAGACAAATTCAAAATGTCAAATGCCTATAATCAGCGCCAAAACATGGCCGTAATAATCCTTGGTAGTAGAACAAAACCCCTAAAACAACTCAAGACAAATTCAAAATGTCAAATGCCTATAATCAGCGCCAAAACATGGCCGTAATAATCCTTGGTAGTAGAACAAAACCCCTAAAACAACTCAAGACAAATTCAAAATGTCAAATGCCTATAATCAGCGCCAAAACATGGCCGTAATAATCCTTGGTAGTAGAACAAAACCCCTAAAACAACTCAAGTCAAATGCAAAATGTCAAATGCCTATGATCAGCCCCAAGATATGGTCGTAACTAGCCTACGTATAACTTGAATCCATCCTTCAATAAAGAAAACTTCAAATGCCATGGTCTATAATCATTTCTACAGCCTCGCCCATCCCTTCTACCCCGCTAACTCCAAGAAGAGCCACAGCCAACTCCTCTTCCTGCCACTCCTTCAACCCCTTGCTCAGCTTCTTCACCACCCCAACATCAACCTCCCTCACCCAGTTTGGTGTGGAAACCACGATCATACTAACAAACCCGGACAGATACGATCTCCACGTGGCTTCATTACACCCCAGGGATATCTTCCTATCCAATACGCTTCCAAGAAAGTCCATGTGCTTTGCAAGAACCTTGGATCGCCTAGAACCAAGCACAACCACCGGCTCGACCCCCATTGCAAATGCTAAGCAGAGCACCGTGAAGTACGCAAGTGCGTATCCCCTCAACATTTCGACTCCGGTTTGGGGTTTCGGTTTTTGTACGGATATGAACCACGAGGGCAAGGTTTCTTTAACCAGAGATTGGACTAAACTCAAACCGCCGGTTATCCAAATCAAAGACGCCCCTAGCGAAGCCGCTACCTTGAGCCGGGTCATAGATGCTGCATGTGAGACCTGACCGTATCTCAACCCATGTTTCATTTTCTTGAGCTTCTCAAGGTCCTCAGCCGGTAATCCGTTGTTTGCAATGTCTTCAACTGAACTCATCACAAGGGACATAATCTCCTCCGTCATAAACAAGGTGTCCCCGACGGATCTATGGACACGCGTGTACATTATGCCGGGGGGAATATGACATATAGTGCTAGCGCAAGATTCATGCCCGAGAAGCGCGCCGACACCACCGCTGCTTGCCGTGATGGAGCTGTCTAGGCCGAGGGTGGCTTTGAAGCAGGCTCTTAGGAGTTGGACGAGGGCATCACTATTGTGGTGGAATATAGTACAACATGCAAAGATGGTAAAAGCCTCATTCCACTGTTTTAGTTTCTGGGTCCAGAGGGAGACTATGATGGGCATGCATGGCCATGGACATAGGGAGCCCAGCTTACGCAAAGTTAAGGCCACAAAGGTGAGAAACCGGTCGGTCTCTCTACCGAGTTTGTAAGTGATGGTGAGACTTAGAAGTACTGCCATAGGTAGTGGTAGAGTAGATGCAGAGCTTCCACCTATAGGAATTAAATACAAGCGTTACCAAACACGAGGAACTAAGCTTGCTTTGATTTCCCCCCTTTTATGAGCATTTTCTGGGGTCTCCATCAAATCAATTGGTATTGACAAGAAGAACGAAAATGAGTTCATACATACCTACAACAAGATTGGGGACGTGAACACCAATAGCAGCTAATGTTTTCTTAGCATGTAGTACAACAGAGGCAAGATTAGCAGCAGGACTTGGCCAATCAGTTCCATTCATGGAGGCAGGTTTCCATAGCCCCCTTGTTACTTCAGCTGTCAAGTAAGTTACTACTGTTGCCAAAGAAGCAGGAAGGAAATCGGCAAGGTCCTTAATCCCTGAGATGAAAAAAAAGTTTGTGGTTTTATGTTTTAACATTAAATTGTATGGCAGTAAGTAAAAACGAATAGACAAAGAAATTAAATCTAAAGACTAGGCTTCCAACAGTGAATTAAAGTAAAAATTTGGGAATTCAGGGAGATGTTTAATTGATTTTTGGTGAAGCTGTTAATGCTAATTCCTTTTAAAGAGAACATAAATTATGATTATTGTCTAAGATTTTTCAATTCTATCCATGAAGAGATTTTTGGCAATAGAGCAAACATGAACTATGGTGGCGGGGAAACCTAATATTGCCCTCTGAAAGTTATGTAAGTCCATTAATAGGAGTGGCAATTAGGTTTTTGGCAATAGAGCAAACATGTAAGATACTAAGAGAGGCAAATGCATGGATCAGATTCTTTTTATTCAAAAGGATGGATTCATAACAGTCCATTAATGATCAATTGTGGATTCTTCATAAAAAACAAACCATTCCATCTGTGATCCATTTAATTAAATAAGATACATCCATTATCAATGTTTTTGCTGATGGATATTCAATTCATCCATTCCATATGCATAAATGTGCTGAAAGGTGCATATAATGATACTTTAGCATATGTTAATTTAGCAATAAAATGATAAATCATTAATAAACGTAAAGAATTCAATTGTTGCAATACATTTGAAAATTCTTGAATTTGATTTTTTATCAAATGGGTTAAAATGACAGTTGATGGATTTACAGTTTTACACTGGATGCATGATGAACAAATGAATACTTTTGGTACCCCTAGCAAATACAAACTAATTGAGGCATTCTTTTTTAAAGGCAGTCCGGTGCACATTGGTATATCCGCAAGGCAGGGGTATGGCAAAGTGTCCACCACAAGAGTGTATAAGAGGCAAGCCTTCCCTTATAATTTTGTCAAGAGACGACTTCCAATACTTAAACCTGTGACCTCTAGGTCACATAGCAACACCATAACTGTAATTGAGGCATTTCCTTTATGCAAGCAAACAACACAGATTTTCCATAATCTATTCACCCCAAAGCACTATAATAATATGGAGAAAATGTTCACCCAATACTCAACTTGCTAACCTGTAGTTAGTTCACGTGGTGAAAGCCTTCCATGGCCACAGGCTGTTATGGCAGCATCAAGCACAAAAGGAACCGCCTCTAATATATCCCATGCGGGCGACTTCAGAAGGGAAGATAAATATTCACCACCAGACGCAGACAAGTTACTGCTTCCAGAAGTACTGGTTGTAAGAGTCTGTCCACCCCTGCTTAGATTTCTAAAAGTGAAATCAAACAGTGCTTCCACTAGTTGATGAACAGGAGTTCCATGAATAAGACCAGAAAGGGTCGAACAAATACATGCCAGATTTTGCCTGTACCAACATGTTAACTTTGGAAATGAGTCCATAATTATGGGTTCTCTAGACCACGGTTCAAAAATTCTGGAAAACTGCTTGCACTTGACATGATTGTTTGACGAATTCTCGGTGGCAGCCAACTGACGGTTGCGCACCAATAATAAATATACAGGAGTCACACGAGACTTCGCTGGGCATTGTTCCCCACAAACAGCTACAAATAGCGGTTCATTAAATTCCCACAACCTTAGCAGAAGAGTGAATGCATTTGAAAACACAGCATGCAAAGATATTTCTTCTCTAGTAAGAGTCCAAGAAACAGTGGGTGTGCAAGAACCAAAGACTTCGCAGATTGGCATCAATGCACCGGCAAGTTGTGGAACCTAGTTTGTGAGAGAAAGAGGTCACTACGCGTTAGACCATAAATCAACTTCAGTATCCAAGGCTCACTATATTATCCCTTCAAAGCATGCAAAAATATGGCTTTGTCAAAGAGATAAAATGACTTCATTATTACAGGACAGCCAGGTTCAATTACTGTGAGTTGATATAGACAATAACTTCAGAATTAGAAACTAGCATATAAAGTTCAAGTGTTCAACCTACCAATCCATGCAAGGAAAAAATCTGTGTACCATCAAGAAATGATATTCCAACAAGAAGGATATTCAGAAATGCAGCGTATCCTATCAAATGGCTTTCACTTCCAGTATAACCTTTTGGAACTGGTGGTGAAAGCAGTTTTATGATGAGCATAGCAACGCACTCCTGCAAGCATGAAGAGAGTCATAATGCAAATAAGGAATTTCCCTTGACCTTGATAGCCACTTGGTAAATAAATTTGTAAAAAATAAAATTAGTAAAAATTAAATCACATTAAGACAATTAACTTTCAACAAGATAGAAAAACATACTCCGTCTGTCCCTTATAACTTTGCCAACTTTTCTTTTTTGTTTGTCCCACTAACTTTGCCACTTTCCTTTTTAAACAAAGAATTTGTGGTTCCTGTCAATTCTCTTTCCTTTGCACAAACCTTAAACACACAGTTTTTACCGGTCGAGGATCTATGTATGGGCTATGGTGGGTTGAAGTCCAGGGCAACTTAATTTTTTCCCAATTTTTTAGTGTAAATTTTTTCATTTTTCATTTTTAGCTCACCCGTATAATGTTTAAGCATAGTATAATTGTTGTTCAGTCCACGACATCCCAAATTTCTGGATCCGCCCCTGATTTTTACTTTATTATTTTACGTGTCAGTCAACATTGACAAAGTTTTAAAGGACTCAGGGTAAGTTGGTTTTGAATGTTGACATTATTCCTAACAGATTATTACGTCAGTACACAGTACCTGTATATTCCAACCACGAGTAAGAGATGCTCCACATAGAACTGTTACGGCATAAATCTTCTCATCATCCGAACCATTTACTGCAAACTCATATATTTTCTCCAATTCCGCTAAACTTTCATCAAACCCATGAGCAAAAAATGTTCAGACGCTTTACAAGTTACAAGAATTGTGGGAAACCGTTCTGATAAGCCCAACTTTATGATAAGAAGAGTGACCACAGTGTAGTAAAGGACTAAAAAACTATATATTCGGGAGTCAGGAGACTCAGGACTCCAAAAAACATAGGGGCTAAATTTGACAGATTCTACTTAATAATTTAAGTGTTTAAAAAATATTGATGGAGAGATATATATGGATATACAAGTATTTCCTAACAACATCTTGATGTCTCAATATTGTCCCTGCCCTTGAAATACATCAGAAGGCACACTCAGTTACTCGCATGTTGCAAGTAGCAAACCAAGGGGGAAGGGGGCCTAATAACATTAGTGCTCCATATTTTGATAAGATGGACTGTATGCCAGCACCAAGCAGTGTACTACATAAAAACTTGGTATTAAACAACATCACCCAGTTTTTACAGTTCTAATTATGTGAAAATTTTATCCTAAATCATAAGAAACCATGCAATATTTTTTAGGGCCTGACAACATATATCATTAGTTATTCACATGAAACGATCAGGAGGAAACATGACAGAGTGATTCAAGGAAGCACATGGACTGTAAAAGAATGATGTTTTATGCTCTGTAACTAATAACCATTGTCATACCTTGAGGCTGGTGTAGATACCAGCACACTCATCATTGGAGCAGTCAAAGGAGATCCTTTCAATAATGAAGACCAGCCAGGTATTTGGCCTGAAATGCCACAAGGTATTTGGTTGCATAGATCTTTTACATAGCCAGGCCAGAAATATGCAGATGTGTCCAGAATGTTCCTGGCAATACAAGCCTCAACAACCAGGTGTCGCAAGTTTCCAGCTACAGTGAACCACAGAAAAATACTGGAGCCATCATTTTGTTGTGTACATGTTTCAATGTGACTTAGACATGGAAGGACATACTAACCGCAATTTGGAGGCATGTCATTCAAGCTCATGCCATCAAAGCACCAACTGGAAACAGTCACACCTGAAAGAAACATAGAAGCTTTTGCAGCGGCTTGATTTGCCACCGTAGCTACGTGTAGCGGTGGAGTTAACAAACCTTCATAATCATCCAATTGTTTTAGACTTGAAACTAAGCCTTGGTGACGCTTTCCTAAAGATTCCTTTCCTTGATTGGCACAGACGAGTTCCCTTTCCTCCTCTTCAATAATGTTAACAATTGCAAGTGTTGTAATAGACAACAGCATGCATAAGCACATATCAAGACGAGGGGCTATTCCATCAGTTGATTGTCTTTCCTAAAAGGGTAAAAAAAATTAATCCATCAGTTGACAACAGCATGAATAGAAGAAATAAATATGATGCCAATTACATAAATATGCTATTGCTTAAATATACTTTTAATCCCTGAAAAATTAGTGTTTTTCTATAATGTTCCTATAAAATTAATTTCTTGTTTTTCATCCTTGCAAATTACGTCATTTTCTTTTTAGCCCCTCCCTGACTATCAATCTTCACTTGAAAACAAAACTGACATTACTAACAGAATTCTATTCTTGCTATTTCATACGTAGTATTATTTTGTTTCTAAGGAATACTTAATATCTTATCTTCTGAGAACGATTCAGACACCTATATATTGAAAGCATGAATGATATGTTTCATATAGCCAAAACTCTACTAACAGACTCAAAAAGTTATAAGTAGTTGACATAGAAAGTCTTCAATGGAGTTTTGCGGACAACATTGGTTTTCTTCTAAGCACAAATTGCCAAAGAGTAAGAGAAGGACTAAAGATAAAATAACAAGAATCGCAGGGAGGTAAAAAAGTTGCAGGGACTGAAAACCTATGCCTTTCTAAGCCATATACTAATGATGAAACAAAACTTCACTTACCCCAGCGCCGGATCTTGCAATCAAATGTGGGCTGTTCAAAATTATTTTAGCGCTAAAATATTACACAATAATATAATGTGATCCAACAACTGAAAAAATGTAATTTTTTCAACTACAAAAACTAACAAATAGGGTTCAAGGTAAGAAATATTGTATTAAAAATACAATATATAAATTATTACATCAATTCTATATGTTTTTTTGCAATGTATTTTCAAATGTTGGGTGTTCATATATGTATTTTTGCAATGTATTTTCAAATTTTTAGGTGTTAAGCTGAACACCCTTGAACAAAAGGAGTCCGCCACTGACTTACCCTCTGAACAAGCCGCAGTGCCGCAACCCATAGCCCAAGAAAAGTGTCATGCCAAGTGGTACAGTTAACTGCCTGAAGAGCCTTCACAAGAGCTGAAATACTAATACAGTTAGCATTAAGACAAAAGTAAAGTATGACTTTTGTAAAGCTGCAATACTGATTCAGTGACTTGATCAAAAGATAACTTAAACTTCAGGGGGTGTAATTACCACTCACCAGTGAGTGTTTCAGCAGCGCTTGTAGCTAACACTTGTCCCTCTAAGGAATCTTCAAGGAAGAGATCAATGGGTAACCAGTAAGCAGATGGACTTTGGGTGGATGAAGATACGAGCCAAGGGCCAACTAGTGCATTCATCCGGTACAGTGTGCTTCTTTTACCATTCCTTGACAGGAAGACATCTGTATTGGATGTTAGCTGCAAAAGAGCCTCTGGAGAAACACTTTTTGAATTTCTTAATGCTGTTGAGTTTGAAGCAAGCAACCGCAAGTGCTGGATAAAGGGCTCCCAGTAAGAAGGCCTAATGAACAAAACAAGAAGAAATAGATGCAACAGTGCATTGTAGTCAGAAAAGCAAAGAGACACATAGAACACATCTAAAGAAACGTAGAGAGCATTTTTAAGTCAGAAAAGGTACAGAATCCTACATGTTCCTTCGCACCAATATAAGTATCTTGGAAGTCACTTTATTCCGAAAAAATTCACCAAGTATTTCAATAGCTGTTATGGTGTTTTTTGTAGACAATAACTCATTTTGCTCTGCCATTTTCCCATCAAAAGCAACATGATTGTCTATCTCCATATCTTGTGTTCTTACTGCCCACATATATTCCTTTTCTTCTGAGAGTTCCAGCAAATCTTCATCATCAAGTGATGCGTCAACTAACTCCCACACAATTTTAAAAACGAATTGCACAATAAGCAACCGACTTTCACAACCTGGGAGGCCAAAAGTCTGAGAAAGATTAAGAGTCTCGTTGATGGACTCCATAATCCTGCACTTTCATATTCAGATTTGTCAGATTAACTAAAACCAGCCTGAACGAAATGGTACCTTATGTTCATTGAATTAAACACATAATGATCATGAAAAAACATAGTAGTAGGTGTGGGGTTCTTTTAATTTCCTGTGTTTGTAGACAATAGTAAAGGAGGAAGTTGACCGTACTGTTGATAATGCGCACCATTAATCTGAGACTTCAATGAGAAGATATATCTTTTCATAAGTTCCAAGTACAGTCTATAGGCCACTGGATATATCTTTCTGTTGGGAATTACTCTGCAGTAAATTAAGAGACACCAGAAGCTAATTACTGAGTTACAGGCCTTTATTTATCGCAGAAGGTAAGAAGAGGAGAAGACTGAGAAGAAGACCTGGTAGAGAGAAGAGCTAGAGCGAACAGGGGAGGGACAGCCCTGATAGTCATGGATTTCTCGAGATACTTCCAAGCAATGGGAAGGTTATTGGACCAGCATATGTGAGAGACGAGAATGGTGGCGAAGCCGGTGGAGGGAATGGGGACGCCGGCGGCGTTGAGTGTGGAGGATATCTGCAGGGCGTACACCAAGGGGTCAACCTCCCTGTCCTGAGCCAATTTTGTGAGCTCCAACACCGTGTCCCACGGGCTGGCCATTACAGCCACCGCCGCCATGGCTGAACTCGAATGCTCCCTGAGTTGGGTTATAATGGCTGGTAAATGGCAAATCTTTCATGCGACGTCGCCTGAAAATTCTTTTTCTTTCCCCGCCAAGTACAGAGTATGGGAAAGTCTCGATACGGGTTAAAATGGCGAAGTCCGGGAAAAATCGGTTGCAGTAAAAGCAATGCTAAAAATTTGCACGGCCTTCAGTTTCACAGGGAAATGATGATCGTGTATAGTAAGAAGAAAGTGATATCAACAGAAAACATCAGCTAAGAGCAAGACTGGACTGGTTTTTCTCTGCTGTGTTTTCACTTTTCTTGTTAGACGATCTGATTCGTGTTTTACCCTTTTGCCGCAACTCATTTACTTTTTTTTCACAACCAGCATTTGACTATCACTTTTACATTTTATAAACACTCGATCGTTTGCTTTTTGAATTTTTGTTTTTCAACGATTCACTTTAATCTTTGAAATAATGGAAAATTCCAAAAATAAAAGTAAGAATGTTTGAGAATTTCAAAACATGATCGTTTTGTTTTTATTTTCAAAATAAAAGTAATTATTGTCAAGTTTAGAAAATACTGTCATGTTTTAAAGTTTGGTATTACCAAAACATGGCAGTAATTATGCTTATTTTGGGAATAAAAAACACGTTAGTCCTATTTTGCAATATACAAATGTTTTAAATCCTATTTAGGGTAATTTCCCCTGAAATAAAGATTGCTAATAAAAATGTGATTGATGACTACAACAATAATTGAATCATAGTAACGTATGTTCAATACATTATAGTAACTATTGGTCATATTTTTTGAAAATAAGTGAGATTTGTGCAGGCGGTGCCATTTTTGTAATTTAGGTGTAAATCGTGGCTTCCATGAAATGAGCATTAATGCATTTGTGGTGAGCATCAAACCTATTCGGTTGAGTATTAAGGGTAGTTGGTTTAATAATGAGCATCGTGATCTTTGTTTTATGTTGAGGTTTATTCCTTCAACCCAAGGGTCCAACACATTCCTATTGATTTCGAGTGTAAGGTTTTGTGGATGTATGATGCAAGCAAGTAAGATGGGTAAATGATAAGAGTAGTAAGTGAGCCGTATCTTATTAAGTGATAACAAGGGTACGTATACAACACACTTCAACTACAAGCCTGAAGGCGTTCGTCTATCTCATTAAGAAGAGCTAGAGATAATCGTTATTGCTAGAGGGAATAAGTTGTCAACCCTTTACAATGAAATAAATGCTACTATTTATATTACCAAGAGGTAGGTGTGATATTGATAATGTGAATGAGTGTGTGTTGATAGCTTCTCAATCACCAAATCTACTGCATTAAATGCGCTTCCCGTTAATATTTAGGTTTCATGCCAAGGGGTCTGGACGAACGTCCATTCGCTGTTAAGCTTTGGGTGCATATCGGTACAAGGAAACTGACTCCGTTCGACCCAGGCTCATCGTCCTCTCCGAACGTTCGCTCAGTGGAGACGAGCGTCTGGCACGGCGTCTCGATGGACTGTGTCCAAATGGCCCCCTGATGGTTTATCTGCTAAGGGGTAATGGGCCGTTCCGCTTTCGGGTCTATTAACCCAACACTTTATATTTTCTAATTTACTTTCTTTTTCTTATTTTTTGTTTTTAAAGATTTATTAATTTATATTTATAATCAACTCTTATGAATTCCAATATGAGAATCTAATTTAATATTATACTTCTATTATATGCATTGATGTGAAAATCGTAAGTTCTGCTAGTTGAGTATCAATACATTTTCATTGTACATTTAGTTGTACTTATTGAGTATTATAAACTTGCAATTGAGTATCGTGATCTCAACTCCCATGTCTTTTAATTCACTTTCTTTTTATTAGTTTTTCTTTTTTTTTCTTTTTTAAAATTGCATAAATTATATCTATTATTAACTCCTATAATGAATTCTAATATGTGAATATAATGTTATATGATACTTTTGCAATATGACATTGATATGAACATACATAACTTACCAAATGTGTGTCGAAAAATTCAAAACTTCATTCAAAATCGCTAATATACTCAAATATTCATTTGTCTATATTCATTTCTTGTAAACGTTATACTCATTTGGTGTGTGAGAGCGATGCCGCAAGGGTTGGACCAATCCGGTAGGTCAATCTCACCGGAATCTAGTCTAAACAGAGCATCAACGTTGTCATCGGGATGGAGGAATTGCGATGGAGCAGAGACGCCTGAATCCCGATGGACCGAATCGACGGCGATTGGGCAACCGGGTGAGACTCGAACGAATCATATTGCAGTAAAAGGGAATATTTTCTTCGTCATACTACATCAATGGAGGAACTCTGCTCTTCGCGATGACGGTGATGGTGAAGCTCACAGCGATGAGCTGATAATGAAGGTCGAGCGATGATGCCGACGACGAAGGATCCAACGTGCAGTGGATCTGGAATCAGAGGAGGAAAAATGGATCTCAAAGTTCACCCTTATTTCAAAAATACATGGCTCTATCATCCGCAAGATACAACCGATTTTATATATAATTTGTCGAAATAGTAGATTAAGAGTCGAGGTTTAAAAATTCTATCCCGTAAAGATCAAAGTTTAAAATTTCATTACAGTTTTACTCATATAAATATTTATTTATACATATATATGTGTCACAAATTTTTTCTTGGAGGCAATTAGACCATAGCACCCTCCAACTTCCCAAGTCTCCACCCGTGACTACCGTTGAATTAGATGCACTGATTGAGCTAACTCCTTGGAGGCAACGAGAAAGAATGTTTTTCTCATTACTAATCTGAAAAACTTTGTCTCCCTCCACTTTGATGTACGTACTGCAGATTTACTCTATTCTTGTTGCGTGTTTTTAGCATCTCGGTCAAGTGAATTTAGAAAAAGGAAAGATCACTTTTTAGAAGAAAAAAATAAGTGAACACTCAGATTGGGTGGGGAAAACCCTTAATAATTTCTCTATAATTTACTCCCTTCAAAATAAAGATCCTAATAATTTGATTTCAATCAAGTTGAGTTTTTAAGGTCAGATTTTTTTAAAGAAAGACACTCATTTATTAATGATATTAAAAGTAACAATGGACAAAGTAGAACAATAGCTTAGAGCAATCAATGGAGTGCCACATAGAACTAGCTAGCCCCGAAAGGTCGTGCCAGCTCACTAAATCTATCATCAGCATTGCTGGACTTGCTACTAAGACAAAATGATAAACAACAAGCGTTTAACAGGTGAAAAGAAATGAGAGTAATATAAATACTGGTTTTACTAGTCACCAGCAAGGGAGAAGAGGTTTGATCCACCACCTCCAAAGACATCATTCCGATTTGACCATCCATCGGGAAGGGAGGAGAGGTTTGTCCAGCCACCTCCAAAGGAAGACTCCCTCTTGCATAAAAACATTGAATACATCACCAGCCACCGGGAAGAGAGAATTGATTTCACCAGCAATCAACAAAGGAAACTTAGCCGAGCAGAATTTGGTTGAAACATCGATTTGACCAGCCACCGAAAAGGAGATCATGTTGAATGCTAACTTTCTTCCGGAGTGAGGTGGTGGTTCAAGAGGAGGACGAGTAATTGAAGCCTCAGAACTAGGGTAAACCCCCCATGCCACATCTACCTCGTCATTGCCTTCCATGGTAGAATAGAAAAGCACGAACAGTTTTGATCCAAAAGAACGAACAAACTACCAACAAAATGCTCACAATAAAGGAGCGCACACAAACCTCGGCAAAAAGTAGCGCCAGACAGAACCAAAAGCCAAAACTACAGAAAAAATAGAGCGAAACAGAAATCAAAGGAACCATGTTGAAAACCCTCACCAGCCTTACATCGCGGTCTTCTTCCTCCACCCAGTTGCATGTTAAGTATAACACCCTAGCCTCGTAGGCCCCGAGGTAGTTACTTCTGACCTTTAGTGCTGTCCTCACAAACCGCCACTAGCCTTTTCCGCGCACTTTGTCCTCACTCATGCGCGCCCTGAGAAACTTCCCAGAGGGTCACCCATCCCAAGACTGCGCCCTGAGAAATTTCCCAGAGGGTCACCCATCCCAAGACTACTTCCGTGCAAGCACGCTTAACTTTGGAGTTCTTGGCTAATGAGCTCCCTTAAAAGGAGATGTACCTTGTTGGTATGAGTAGTACTCTTAATCCGTTTAAATTAAATCTCAAGTAATACATTAAGCCAGTCAATTAACTCCGTCGAACAGGCCTTCTCAATCCTCTTGATATATACATACATATGTGTGCGTATATTGGTTGGCCAGAAACTAAAAGAGATAGTACTCAGTTAGAGCTCTATTGTGAGTAAAATCTAAACAAAGTTGGTATTGCATCATATCAATTCAATCACTGGATTGCGAGACAATGAAATGGTCAGATTTTTAGAATTAATTATTTGTAACAATGTTTTCAATTGAACTGAAATTTTCCAACGGCTAATTGCCTCTAAATAGGAGTTAGTATGTTTCGAAATTCCAAAATAAGACTGCTATATTTTTCTTTCCAAAATATGAGTCGTTATTGTCATGATTGAAAAATATTGTCATTAATGATAGTAAATACTGTCATGTTTAATACTCTCACCATTCCATTCAAAGGTTCTCACTTTCCTTTTTTCGACATCCCACTTAAAGTTCTCATTTGTTATTTTAGGAAACAATTAGCACTCTTAAATAACAATGTAATAATCAAATATTAAAAAAAACACATCTATAATATCATAATTATCACCAATACCCTCATTGTTGAGGCCTATTTCTCAAGGTTCTTTGGACTTTCATAGGAATTACTTCATAAATGAGTTGTTTTAGTGAGTGGATCCAATTCTATTGAAGTCTTTAGAACGATTACAACACTTATGCCTAGCGGACGCTCCGACCCCCTACCTCAAGTTGGAATGCTACAAAAGAAACTAGAAAGAAGTTTAATGCTTAGCAATGCTAAGTTGTCAACCCTTTTCAATGAAATAAATGATGATATTTATACTATAAGGTGTTAGGTGGAGGGAGTGATGTGTCCAACCCTGAATGGTTGAACCCCAACCATAAAATCTTATATATATATATATATATATATATATATATATATATATATATATATATATATATGTGTGTGTGTGTGTGTGTGTATGGTGCATTAAAGCGCTTCCCGCAAATTCTCAGGGTTCCTGCCAACTATTTGGGGGAGTTCTGGCTTGAATGGCTCTTGGGTTGAGTAAAGAAGCTCAAGTGTTGAGAATGGGTTGGGCGGCAATCCCCGTGTGGGACTGCTGAACGCTTATCCTTAATTAGATATACTGCGAATGAGGCCGTATGCAGATTAGGCCTCTTGGCGGGTATTTAGGCTTGTACTGGGACGAGGCCTAATATCCCAACACCCACTATAGTATATACCAATCA